TGTCAAATAGCCTATTCTTACTATTTACAGTTGAACCAGAGGTCTCCAAACCGTAGCTCGGAGGAAGCACATCAAATACCGCTTAAAACAACTATTAAAGTTTTGATAGCTCTCGGCGCTTTGTAAAACTAGCCTTTGTTGAACTTCACATTCATTCCGAACTTGATAATGCCTATCCTATCTTCATGAGAAGACCAGTACCCCTAGCACGAACCATTATCGAATTCGAATAGCTTGCAAACCGAAATGTCAATGTCAAATTTTGTATGGAAACTTGAACAGCAGCGGCACAAAGTACGTAACGAGAACTAAAAATCGGTACACATTTGACAATGACATTTCGGACTCGCAAACGATACGAATTCAATATTGGTTCGTGTTAGGGGTACAGGAGCTCTATTTTTGAATCACTCACCTTGCGTCGAACGTTCGATTTACACTATATTCGACATAATAAATTCCGTATTTTTTGAATAGCTCTACGTCAACCACTAGTTGCGCGTTGACGAATTATACAGACAAATGGTAGAATAATTTTCAAATTTATGTCAGCTATTTTCAAGTCTTTTTCTCAATCTTTTTAAAATACAGATAAGATGACGATTTGTTGCGACGATTTTGATCTTTTCTAACAAAAAAGGCAAAAGATTAAATAACCAGTTATTGAGAATAATACGTTTATTTTTCACAGCACGGTAATGTAATGACTGCTTTTTATCTTTTTCATTGATTCATTAATAAAAATAAATATTTTGTATTAAACTGGTAAAACTGTAGATGACCAATTCAAAAATATGGAAAATCAGAATCCGGCGAGTTGGAAGTCGAGAGAGACTTAAGTCGCATTCGACGATACTATGTCAGGTGAGCGATTCAAATAAGAGCTCCTGGGCATCTACCTTGTTACTGTTTTTTTTTATGTTAAAATGGTGGCAGATAATAATATTGCCCGCCTGATGGTAAGCGGCCACCATACCCTATAGACGCTTGCGATACCAACAATATCACTCGTGACGCCATTGCCTACCCCTTTTTTTTGTTAACTCTGGCAAAACCTCTCTTTACAGACGACGGCGCCTTTAAGAGGTACACCGCCGAACGGACCTCACACCTGGCTCCCGCAAGCTTTACGGGCCCCCGCAATGGCTGCCCACTGAGGACCCCGTAACTCTTACGGCAATTTACGACATGATATCCGCTAATAACCCTGCGAATATCCTCTAAGCTGCTTAGTGCGAAGCCATGGGATCCTCGTTTAGGGATTCTTCCGCGTTTCTGCACCTAGCAGCCTCCCGGCCTAGCCGGGGCTCCACGGCACGGGTCTCCCGGGGTATCGCGGGGACCCCGCCATTGCCTACCCTGACTTCATCCCATACCCCGTGGACGTTACAACATTGGTGTCACCATGATGTAAATTTAAGTCCACGTGTTTATAAAATAAACAAAATGTCCACTTTACTGTTAATTATTTAAACGTGTCACCATCATTATCACCAGATTATTAGTGTCCCTACTGCTGGGGCACGGGCCTTCCCAATGGATGGAATAGGGAGATTGGGCCAGAACCCACCACGCGGTCCCAGTACCTGTTTGTGAGTGCCAACGACTGTAGATGCATGCCGGGAATAACGGGTAAGCGCGCCTTCCGAAGCACGGAGGATGATAAGTTTTTGGTCACCCATCCAATTACCGACTAATGCGAAAATTGCTTAACTTTCACGATCACAGGCCGAACGCGCTAACCACCTGTGGCATCGATCTCCTTATCATCGTATCCTCAATAAGATCAAAATAATTATCATGAACACTGATTACAGAGGAATCTTTAACAAGCGTAGTATTCGATATTATAAATAAACAAGACAGTTCGTGCAGTTAAGCGTGAGTCATGTACCTGACCTAAAATAGCTGGGTGTTAACGACTTCTGTGAGAACAGGTGAAACTAGGCGATATGTGGATCAGTTCAGTCCCCCTTACGACTAAAACGTAGGACATCTTATTGATATATTTCCTGGAATATGCAGGAAAAAGGATCCAGCCGGATCAATCTGTCACAATACTCACTTAACTAAACTTTGGCAGCTCGGTATTCACGGCGATTTGTTTCGCTGGATAAAGTCATTCATAGTGAATCGTTGTCAGGCTGTAGCATTGTCAGGTTATCAATCTGCGTACAAAGATGTACCTTCGGGTGTTCCTCAAGGATCACAGCTAGGACCATTGCTCTTCATTTTATATAATAATAATAATTTATTGGAACCACTTTACATTTTAGTACATGATAATGTGAACCATGTCCTCTGGAAAAGGTTACCCTGAGGACCAGAAGACAGTGCTCTCCCCACTATTGTTACTACAATACTAGCTACAATAATTTAAAACTACTAAAAAAATAAAATATGTCAATGATTTACATACATTTAGTAATAATTCTAATGTTTTTCTTTATGCAGATGATACAAAAATATTCCGAGTTATACGAGACACTAGAGACTGTACTTTACTGTAGAGCGATCTAAATAACTTTGAAAAATACTGAATTAATAATAATTTATTTTTAAATCCAGATAAATGCCATATAATCCTTTTACAAGGAAAAAAACCCGATAAATTTATGTTATACATTGTGTGGGAAAAACTTTAAATCGCGTAACAGAAATAAGAGATCTAGGTGTTATAATTTATTCTAGACTTACATTTGTCCCGCACATTGAAAAAGTAGTAAACCAGTCTTTCAAATTCTTAGGATTCATATTGCGCATAGGAAAACCTTTTAAGAGTTCTGTTACATATAAGTGCATTTTAACAGTTACGTGCGTAGTCGATTGGAATTCGCAAGCCCTGTGTGGAATCCTTATTATCGTGTACATCAGGACAAAATTGAGAAGGTACAACGGAAATTTATAAAGTCATTGGATTATAGAACAGGTAATCCGAACATCGATTATAAATCCTCCCTTGCCTTTCACAACATAACATCTTTAAAATGCCGAAGGGATCTAACAGATATAAATTGTTTATATAAAATCTTAAATAATAAGATAGATGCTCCATCTTTATTAGAAATAATAGATTTCCGTGTACCCAGAAGGCAAGAGAGAACAAATCGTAGAAAAGCATTATTCTTTATGAAGCCAAAAAACACTACGGTAGCAATAGTTTTATAAAAAGAGCTTGCGCACTTTTCAATGAGCTTTTTACAAATATTGATATCTTTGAGACATCCAAATATAAGTTTAGGAGGAGTATTGCTGAACTCATATAAGGCTGAAGCTTGTAAGTATTACTTTATGGACATTTGCTTAAAATATATATATATATATATATATATATATATATATATATGTGTGGCTGTTTGTTTCTTATAAATAAAAAAAAAACGACAGTGAACCTAAAGTTACAAATGCGTCAAACCAACAGGAAAATGTCATGATAACACACTGATGATTTTATTATGCTTGTACGAGGTAAGTTTACGAGCGATAGGTAGGTTTATTTGTTTTATAGAGAAAATCAAAGTATAGGATTTTACAGTGTCCACTAGAGACGGGACGACTAGCCGCTGACTAGTCGGGAAAGACGACTATTCGGCATCGTTTATAGTCGGCGATTAGTCGGCGACTATTCGGCAAAACATGCCGATTATAATCGGTACATAACAATGAAACAAAACTCAAAACTAATGTTTGTTATGAATATTTAAACAGTACCTAGAGTATGTATTTAAAGTTACCTACAGTCTTAAAATATTTAAAAAAAAATAAGGTTACATAATAAGAATTAGGAACTTGGGAATCTGTCAGTAATTCAGATAACTTAACACAATGAATATCGCACATAACAAAATAGCAGTGGGAAGTAAGTACGTTTAAATTGCCTGAAATCTTAAGTGCTAGCGCGAGTCTTAAAGAAGTCCATAGGTAAAAATCTTTTTCCTTAGAGGCAAATTGTGATGTTGGAACATGAATATTTCGGCTCGTTTTGGGAGACTCGTGTCGTGCGTGAGCAAGCCGAGTGACGGAATATTCCCAACATATTCCTAAGATTGGTATTAGAATGATCGGCATTGCAGAATAGGCGGCCGACTAGTCGGCAATTCGAAAACCGATTAGTCGGTTAGTCAGCAAATACTATAGTCGGCCCATCTCTAGTGTCCACCTTATTCTGACGTAATTTATTATTTGTTTCATTTAATTATTATTTGCGAGCTGAAATAATTTTGATTCCTTGACATTGTATGTTGAATGAAAGCTTTAGTTTAAATTGTTCCAATTGATGACTCCTTAACAGGCATGCAAGACATATTTTTTTGGATTGTAAGTTTAAAAACTGTATGCCTGAAACGGTAAATGTGTAGTACTTATCTGATATTGTCACCTTAATGTTCATATAACACATGTACAAATCAATTATGAAATTAAAGCTTTGATTTTAAATTTGTAGTTATAAAATTAGCCTAAAATACGCAAATTTCATACAACATCACCCCAGCACCGGCCAATCAAGCATTCATCATGGCTCAAAATCTTCCAAACCTCTACATACACTAACCAATCAATTCCCATATTTCACACAACTACTAAAATCACGCTTTGTTATCCATACGAAAAAAGTCTCAATTTGTAGAACTTCAATCGGAAACGTCTAATAAATTCCACCAAAGGGGTTTCTAAAAAGTCCTAAGTATTAAATAGATCACTGAAAACGACACATAAAAAAAAGGAAATAAATAGTATCACAAATCTAATAGTGTTTTAGATGTCAAACGAGTGCACATAAGAGCCACATAGTACAATAATGAAACACTAAAACTTCTGACGGCATTATGTTAATTGCGGATTTACGAATGATTTTATTGATGGTAACGAAAATGTTATTTTTGAAACAAATGCCAAAACAACTTTCAAACTAAAAACGTTTGAAACTGATATTGAAGACTTACTGATTTAAATGCCCTCAGAATATTTAGCTCATTGAAAACTAATAATGGACCACTCACCGATTTGTAATCATCATAGTCTTTCGTGTCCAACACTCTTCTTCTAGACGACGGCGTGTCAGGACTGGAGTCTTCTGTAGCTTCACTAAGAGTGCTCTCCGTACTAGTCTCCATAGACTTTGTTCCATCTTGACAAGGTTCTTTTTCGTCTACGCCATTTTTCTCTATACGTTTCTTCAAGAAGTTTTCATGTTCAAAGGTTTTGTTCTCAAAACCTGTGCCACTAGGAGATTCAATGTCATTGTCTAGTACTAATCTGTCGTCTTGTTCACAATCTATATATTTTAAGTTGACTTTGGATCTTCTATCTGGTAGCACGTCAGCTTTATCTTCTTGGATGTTATTCGCTTTCTGCCCAGCACCCGAAGCTATCGGTTGAGACATCTGTATATACGAAGCGAAGTTAGATGTGTGTTTTGGCATTTTTACCTGTTTCTCGATGTCGTTCTTGAGTGACTCCTTCCTGTTAGCCACTTCGGGGCTACTTCTTAACTTTTTGTAATCAACGTCGCCATTTTCGACTTGTATGACAGTGGATTTTTCTAAGATTTTTCCTATGGGATTGTTTGGGTCTAGTTGGCTTTTGATGCTGGCGAGACGGTCAGAAGGCAGTTTCGTGGTGAGTGACGTGGACATTGAGTTGGTTTTGTCTACTATTGGTTTTGCTAGGCTGACAGGTTCGGATATAGTTTTGCTTATGGACAGATCGGAGTTGGAATTGGACCTGGAGGAGGAGGAGCCAAGCTCCCATCTATGGTTCGAGCCGTTCTTCTCAGCGCAAGACAGATGCACCGGGACAGGCTTGTCGTAGTTTGGCACGATTTTCGTGTACCCGGTACCACCGTTCTCGCATTCTTTCAACTTACTCAGATACTGTTCTACTGAACTTTTCGGTGAATAGGACGCTTCGTTTGCGGGCAATTTCGTCACGGTCATTTTTGGATCGAACCTCTTTCGAATTTCAGAAACGGATACCACTTCGTTACCGTTATTATCCTTTATACCGTTCGTCATAGAGTTCCTTTTGCTGTAGCTGGGAGAGCTCTCTTTATACGATCTTCTGCCTTCCGGTCTCTGGTGTTAAAATGAACACTTATTTTCGGGGTTCTAAGATCTTTATAAGGATACTACGTTGTGGCTTGTGGATGTGTGTGTTAGTACAAACGTGCTCCTTGGACATTTGAACTCTTTTCATTTAAAATGCAAAGCAGCTTAGGAGATATTTCAAAAAACACGATCTTTGGAAGTAGACTCTTAAATTACATAACTGCGAACATTTTTTATCGATCGAGTTTAAATGTCATTTGGTTGGAGTTCAAAAAATATAGATGTCACTACTTTGCAAGTCAGATGATAGGCAAGATGCTATTTTTAATAATTTTACAAATCGGGCCATTTTTAACCAGACCTCTATAAATTATGTGAATGAAAATGAGGTTAAAATGCATAATATTGGTATGTCATAAAGATCTTAATTAAAGCCCACTTGCAGCAAATTTCCTAAATCTCGATTCAACTAAAATCAGCTTTAACCCATAGAAAATTGTAAATGTCAATTTGACATTATTGTATTGGGTAAATCTAGATTGAGTTAAATTAAGATTAAGCAGAATAGCTATAAGTGGACTTAAGACTCAAATTATGTTCGTAATTACGAAAACTTAATGAGTTATGATTACAATAGATAAAAGATTACCACAATGATGAAGCGAGGAAATACGAAAAATAATATTAAAATTCAATATATTTATTTAAATTAAACATTTTACAAGTTTCAGAACAAAAATAATCAGTGTTGGAGAATCATTAAAGAGTTTTGTTGATATTTAAAATTCTCAGAAAAAAAGGTGAACATAGATAATAGAGTGTCACTAAAAATAATGAGTGTTTCAAACAAACAAATGCTAAAAAAAATGTACCTATCTGAGATGTCACCTGACCTAGTTTATAAATTGGATGCATCTCTCGCAATTACACCAACTTACAGTTTAACCTCATTTCATTAGACATTATTCGCTTACGTCTGGTGGCCTTTTATGTTAAGCACCGCCTGTCATTGTCAAGCGCGAAAATCTAAAGCTGAATGGCTCTTTATCAAAGTCTATGCATTCGGTGTTAACTCTCCCTCCAGAATTTACAAAGCCGTCAAGTCTTACTTAGAATGTTTTGGCTAAACATGAAGTTACTGACGTAACATCGATTGCATAGACCTCGTCACTTCTTAGTGCGTTTTGTTAATGTACATACACACACAAACACACGCACACATCAGTTTGTGTGCCTGCGAAATCTGCCAAGAGAGTATCACTCAGGTTTTAGGTGTACAAACTAAAGAAAAAAAATATTAAAGAAAATGGCAATTTAATCGGGGGCATTATTAACACTGGGGGTGATGTCAATTCAGACCTTGATGATAATATGGTTGTGGGACATGTAGATGGTACTACCGATCAATCTCAAACGAACTAGAGAGAAGATGAATCTATTATATTTTCGGGATTGAGTAACAGATTTCGGAAAATGTCCAAAAAAAATATACGCCTCATTCGAAAACGCGGGCTAAAGTTAGTATTGGTTTAAACCTGATGTTGTCTCTGTCTTCTTTTAAGCAAAGGAAAGTGACACCATCAGTTTAAATCAAAGTTTAGCTTTAGTCTACGCCTCGTAATAAGGTGTCTTATCTTTAACAGTGGCAGAAGACGTTGGAGTTTCTTCGAGACCGACTTATCCTCAAGCTGTTTCAAATCGATTTACAAATGCTTCAGCACATGAAATATCTTCAGGATCATTAGAAAGAGGTTTAATGTCAGCCATCATTACCGGATCAGGTTTAATGTCAGCAATCATTACCAGATCATTACCGACTTCATTGATAGGACGCTAACGTTCAATATCAGCATTATTAACCGTAATAACTTCTGAATTGACACCCACAGTATTGAAAGTAGCGTTTGTGAAAGAAAAAAAAACTACTGGATTATTCACTGTACTCTCATCACAAAATTACCTCCCTGTATTAAGTCCGGAGTTTGTAGTTTTAGCTCCTAAGAGTGTGGAATAAGGTATTAATTCGTTTGATTGAAATATTGATATTTCGAATATAGTTTTGCTTACATTATTATAGTTGTTTGCAAACGATAGATATACGTAGTATTTAGTATTAGTAAGATCATCTTTTTGACGAACTCTGTGGCGTCGTGCTTCAAGGTGTCACCTAATCGGAGGTCCCGGGTTCGAATCCCGGTGGGGCAATGTTAGTATGATGAATACGAGTTTTTATACCTAAGTGATGGATAAAATATTCTTATGTAATATGCATTCAATCCGTTACCCTAGTATCCCATACCACAAGCCTTACAGTGATTACTTTAGGGATAGGCTAATTGGTGGGAGTGTTGGAAATTATAATATATTATTATCTACAATTAAAACTAAATATTTAGTTTATTTTTTTATTATTTAGATAATAACAAAAAAAAAATACCAAAGGAAATTCAACTCGTCCATGAATTTTTGGATGGAATTGAAGACCTTAATGAACGTGTCGAATTTCATCTAGTATATCTTAGCCTACAAATAAACTATCTGTAATATGATCAAATAAAGATATGTATTATAAAAATATCATCATATTTTTGAAAAAAAAAATATTTACTGTAATAATGTTGTAGACTGAAGAAAAATATTTTCAATAAACAGCAATCAAAACGCATCATAACGTATAAGAGTTAATATTGTTTTTTACCATTATTAGGACCCTATCGTATCAAAGATGTAAAACTTATGAAATCAATAAAAATATAATCGAAAAAAAAATTGCCTTTAAAGAAAAATAAATAATAAGTACGAGTAGAAAACTTAATACGGGGAAAAACTAAAAGGAATTCTTTTTAGCCCGTGCGTGGGTAAGATTTTCAAAAAATAATGGACACAATTTTTTCTTTTGTCAATCAACCAAAAAATTGCAAAAAAAATAGAAAAAAGCAGTCAGTGTGCTTTTGACGTCACTTCTAAGTGAAAACTGTACCAAGGCGTGACGTCATGCGACATTTCAAATCAATACAAGTATCTCTGTAATGTTTTGATTCAGACCATTATTTTAAATACGTGTCCAATACTTTTTTAAAATTCGTCCTTTAGTTAAGGAAAAAAAAAATTTATCATCCCTCGTAATATAGTAATTGAAAGTATTATTTTCTCTCTCCGTATATGTATCGTTTGCAAAATGACATAGTTTAAAAAACTAAGTACAATATAATGAAAATAAAATTGTTGTGCTCAAATAAGTTGTGTTGTAAACTGCAATTTAATAATAGTAAGTAAGTATAATGCGATTAGACTAAGAATAGGACCGACTGGGCGCCATATTGTGACGTCATAGCTGTCAATTCAAACTGAATAGGTAGAGTGAGCAAAAAAAAGTTTTCATTTAATAAAACTGATTTACTAAGATTAAGTGAGAAAAAACGTCGTTCTTTTAGTAAAATTTATTAACTAAGATTGAGAAAAAAAAACAACAGATTTTAAATAATATTTATATATAAAGACTGTGTAAGAAAAATATTCATCAGAATCTAGCTCTTCAATTCCGCTCATGTCTGCATTACTGCCGGAGTAGTTATGAATAAGCATGCACTATTACTACGATAATAATACGAACATGCATCATTTATGTAAACGAAAGTTTTAAATTGAGTTTCTGGGGGCCATTCGCCTAACGGAAATGCTCTGGAAAACGCTAACGCTTACGATTTCATTTTGTTATTTCTAGCCGCCTGAGGTTTTCAAATGCCTCGCGCTCTTTTTTTTCTTTTGCATTGGTAATAACAATATTAAAAAAAAATGTATTGCGTGAGGTATTTGAAAACCTTCGGCCGTCAGAAATAACAAAATAAAATCGAAAGCGTTAGCTTTTGCCAAAGCATTTCCGTTAGGCGAATGGCCCCCTGAACGCAACTTAAAGTGACATTTGGTTGACGATTTCGGTTATCGACCATTCATAACCAAAGCTCAATAAATGAAAAAAAAAATCAATCAATATTCATTATCAATATTTGTTATTGTTTGTGTACAAATGTTTGGTTTTAATTCTAGAATTAGCTGAGTGCTAAAAAAGGGTCTTTGATTTTTTTGCAAACCGTACTTTTCAAGCGACATTTGACAGATGGAGGTCATTAGCTTTCCTATTATTATTTGAATCGCACTATACTTGATTAAAACGCGCGAAAATTGGCTGCTGTTATTTGGCAGTATACGTTTCTTTTTATGTTGAAAGGTTGGCTGGTAATGGTCCTATATAGGGACTTTAATAAAGATAAACTGATATATTGGTAACACTGAGAATAGATGTTTTAGATCTATTGAAAATTTTACTTGATAAAATTCCACGCAGACCAGGCAGCAGACAGAACTCGAACCTAAAACCTCCGATATCCGGGCCCTGATGCTGGTGTCGAATTTTCACTAGCATTTCTTAGGCTGCACGGCAGCGCCATCTCTTCGCATCGTAGGTAACCCACAATATCAAATGAATACCTTTACAATATTAAAAATTTGAAAGAAGAAATAGCAATTATAGTTATTTTTTGTATTTTTTAAACATTTAACTGCTAAATGTTTAAATGTAAAGAAAATTTTGCAAGAAAAAAAAAATTACGCGTGTAATTTTTTGTAATAAAATTTTCTTTAGATATAAATATCTAGCAGTTAAGATCTTAAGAAAAAATATATATGTGTATAATAAGAATAGATATCGAACAGCGACGTGGTGTAATAAATATAAAGTCTGTACGCGGTTGGGCTACGTGCGAACCCCCACAACAACAGCTAACTAGACTAGAGACGAGGTCCGAGTCTCAGAGACGCCCTCTAGTTGAGCCGACCCCCTCAAGTCGTCGTGGTCTAGAGGTTCCAGACGGAGAGGAGACTCCCCCCGCGGGGAGATGCCATCCGCCTGGAATACCTCTAAAGGCACTCGCCAATTCTCGGCTTGAGATCCCCTTAGGATTTCGCCGTCCCCAAACCCGGTGACGCTGTAAAGGTCAGCGACCAACAGCATACAACACACTCAAAAA